GGTACTATAAAAAACCAAGCACACAGTTACAAGCACCAAAACATGAGCAGGATATAAAACCTTAAGTTTAATAACATAATCTGTACTTTTTTTTTTGTCTTCTTGAACAAGGTGTAAGGAACTTTTGCAGTTCCTTAAATTCTAGGATTAAAGATACATCACTGGCTCTCACGAACTGAAGTCCCTACTTACATTCCAACTGATATGTAGAACAAAAATATTCTTTGGGGTAGCTTTGTATTATCTGTGGCTATCAAAATACATCACACAGCAAAGAAAGTGAACAACTTGTGAACCAAGACAGGCACAATGCTAACTACAGTATTTACTCCAATTCATTCAAGAGTCCTTTCAATTTGGCCATACTAGTAGAAGGCATGCCCTGGATTAAGATGGGAAAACATTTTTAAACATATTCCCTAAAAGGCTTCTTTATTTTCTAAACAGTGTATTGTGAGGAGAATTTGGTAGGACTACATGGTAATAAGACGGTAATACATGATATACAACATGATGTTAAGCAGGGACAAAATATCAAATTAACCATCAAATAAGCTACTGCACTCTCTGCATTCCATGAAATGTACAAGCAGTGGAATTCAGATTCATGTTTATTCTCAAAAGATGAAAATCAATTAACTATGGCATCCAAGATTCAGAGCTACTCTTCCTGGAAAAGTACACAAGAAACAAACTGGGCTAACAGTGTGTCCAAAAGTTATATTGGGGGTGAAGGGGGGCGAGGGAGGAAGATCCACTAATATTTCCAAAAAACTTTACCCCAAAAATGTTTACAGAATATTTTCATAGATATGTTTTCATTTACTTGTGGCTGCTAGCAAGTCTGCAAAGCAATTCCTTAAAAAAAATACTAGAAATCAGAAAGGATTCTTAAAAGACAACAGAAAAGAGCTACACCCTAAATGAACTTAAACTCTATCACAGAACAGAAACACAACAAAATCATATAAAAACAAAAGAGCAAACTAAAATATGCCTATTCAAACAAGCATTTCACCTCTGCAAAAAAATGATTGGCTTCCCATAAAAGTCAGGTTTAGCTCTCACTTCAAAAAGCTATTGAAACAATACATCCACCCTGGCAGGCAAGACCCAAACTGTAACACAATTTTACATGTTTATCAATAGATCATTCAGAGAAAACTTACCAAATCTGCAACGTGTGTATGCTTGTGCTTCGGAGGGAAAGCAGAAAAATGAGTTTCTGTACTTAACAGTGGCGTTCACTTCAGGGCTAAGAAACACACCGCCACAGTCCTGCTTGCAGGAAAGTCCTGACTAGCAATCTGCCTTTGGGTTGGGCTCTTCTCTTATGAGATAAGCTGTTAAGTCATGCCTTGATTTCAGATCTGCTAACATATGGAGTCTTCTAATGTAGCCTCTCTCCGCCCCCTCCCTCCGCTCCCCCCTCACCGCTGCTCCACTCCCTCTGCACACACACACACACACACACACACACGCACACACAAAAGGCACTGCAGGGCAGAAATTCCTCAGGTGCTCGCTAATGGAATTCCCAGGGTCTTGGAGCCGCTTCGGGGATCAAGAGATCTCATAGCCCCTGCTGGGGTAAGGAGCAGCGAGTCTGTTCCATTTAATCAAATACAGAATGAATTTTCAGCTCTATTCACTAGCTTGTCTCCAGGGCTCTCAAAAGGCACCAGGCAGCTAGAATCACACACATGTGGCTCTTTTAGGCAAGTATAATTAGTTTGATTTTAAAAAGCCACATTAATAATATCACCTCAGGACCATTATTCAGGGGACAGATGACAATGATACTGTATGTTTTAAGCCTGACAATGGGGGAAAGAGCACAAACAATGAGGGAAAACTTGAAGGATTAAATAAAAAAAAAAACACGCCAGTTTTTCATTGAATTGTAATCCAATATTTTTAAAGTGACATTAAATATATTCCATACACTTCATTTTAATTGAAAAATATTAAGTCAAGCCCTCCTCCCTATTATCTTGAAAGTGAATCAGTACCTTATATACAACAAAAATGTACAAATGAAATGTTTATAAATAAAGGGAATGTTTACACACAATATAAAAATTTACATAAAAACAATAAAACATTATTCTCAAATGTCTTATTTGAGAATAATCCAAGATAACAAAACTTCTTAGGGAAGAGCACCAATCAAAAACTGTAAATCAAGTCCTTCAAAGCAATGTATTTAGCAACCAGACTCCAAATTCCCTTTCTAATCTAATTAGTTGCTATTAAGTGGTAAGATCATCTGCCTAAATACTACCTGGTGGACAACTCATCTACTCCTCTGATGTCTTCTTACCTACACATCTACGCAGTATAAGCGCTAATAACAAGGCAACGCCTAATGTAATTAACGGTTATAAATAACAAATTTTTAAATTACTTATTTTTAATGTCCTATCCCCTGTCTGATTGCACTAAGATAATGTTGAATGCCTAAAAATCATTTCCCCTGGATTTTACTTAGACATAATCACCCAATTTTGGTCTAAATGTTTGCAAAAGAAACGTTTTCTAGAGAAGGAACATTTTACTTCGATTTTTATTGTGACAAAACCATAAATGACATCGTTTAGAAAGTCATGAAAGAGTAAAAGGTCAACGTGGGAAAATAGGAGGAAAGCACAGCAAACCAGTCAACCCATTTTACCTGATCTCTTTAGACCCCCCCTTTCCTACACACAGCCTCCCATCTCATAGACCTTGCGAATGGGGCGGGGGTCCTATCTGAAAGTGAGCTTAGTTCTCTTCATGCAAAGTCAAACCACCTGCCAAGAAGGTAAGACTGATGGAGAACCCAACCTGCACAGACCAGATGGGTGTGCTCCGGGGCCTAAGAGTTCTCTGTACCTCCCGACCCCAGGGCAGAGCTGTTGAAGTACTTTCCACAGAGGAGGCTGATGCGAAACACAGCCATCAATCAAAGCATCCCAAGTGAGTTCCTGCACAAACACACTACCTCGAGGAACTGATTTCCCTGGTTGACTACACTACTCAAACAAAGCCAGATTTCCCAGATACTATATCCACGTTTTGGGGTTGTTTTTTTTTTTTTACATGAAAGTTAACATACAGGGGTGTTTTTTCTAGAAATATAAATGTTTCTGTTCTATATGCTGCCAAACACACACACCCAAGGGCAGGTCTTCGCAAAATGAAACAGGTTTGCACTCCATCCTTCTCATATAACTTAAAAGTAGGAGGCAGTTTATGCCAACATGTGCATAACAGAAAACCACGGTAGTGGGTGCCTCTCGGGGTTCCTAAGGATGCTTTCTAGTTAAGGACTAATTTTTTAAAATGTCCAGAACCTTTCTGACGTTCCCTTTCATCTTGTCCTAAAAGTTGCACTATTCCCCCTCCCCCATCCATTTTCAGCTAAAGTAGACTACTCACAACAACAACAACAACAAAAACCGAGCTCTAAAATGTAATAGGATGTTTAGAATCATCCCAAGAACAAACCCGTCTCAGCCCCCGGCCCTCTCCCACCTCCTCCCTCCCGGACACTGTCCACTAGGTAATGGCCAAGGGTCAGCTGACAGCCTGCGGGTTATGGTGTCAGTGAGGCATGGCATCGGCATCGCCGGCCACCGGACTGAGAAACCCATCTGTTACCTTTAAGTCCGACCTCCCGTTCCTCGAGGTGTCCGACTCGGGGCGCGGAGGAGGCTGCCTTTCTGTGAATGCGGTTGGTTCTCTAGACCCCAGATCTCAGCTGGAAGGCAGCCTGCCCTCCGAGCACCTGCCACCCTCGGGAGCCCAGCCAGGAAGCACCAGCTTTCCGGAGCAGCCTCCTTGCGGACAGACAGCCGTCCACCTGACTCGGTGGGGTCCGGGGGAACAAGGAGGCGAAGACCAGAGAGTCCCTCCAACCCCCGCACCCCCCCCCCACACTCTGTGATTTATGACTGGCAGTCCTAGAGGTGGAGTGGAAGCCACAAGGGTTGGAAGCTGCGGAGTGAAATAAAGAGCGAGCTGCAATGTATGGAGACAGGAGAATGCAATCCCAGGGAGAGCTGCTGGGGAAGGAGAACGAGCTCCCGAGCTCCCGGGGCTGGGCAGGCACGGCGCCCGTGACAGCGGAGAGAGAGACCCCGTGCGGGACGTTTCTCCCGCTCGCCCCGCAGAAAGCACCGTCCC